ATCTTTTTTTCCCCTTCCTGGAGCCAATTTTTGAAATTCTCAAAAATGAACTAATAGCTTTTTCCTGCCATTTCCCCAACCATATTTGGAGTGTTGCTCTGGAAGCATCAGTTTTATTTTGCTTTTATAAACTTTGCTTTGAGGTCACAATTTCACGTGCAGTTTTGAGAAATGCTTCTGCGGGATCCTGTCTTTCACCACTTTCCCTGTGAAGGCATCTTGTAAACTCCACACAGCTTCACGCTCAGGAGGCTGGCAAGGAAAGAGCCGTGCTCAGAACTTGGAATCTGTCCATCAGCAGGAACATCCCTCACACACTGTGCACACCTTCTACACCGGCACTGGACAGCCAAGCAGCAGCCCCGTTTCTGTGGCCTCATTTCAGCAGTACCCACGAACAGAACCACTTGCCACCAGCCTTCAGACACCAGCTTGCTCCGTGCAGCCTCATTCTCGAGAGAGTCGTCTAAGTCTAAGTCATGGAGTTCTTTTCGTTGGTGAGTAGTACTCCATGGCATGGCTGAACCACTGCTTGCTTGACTTTCAGCCAGTGAAGGACATCTGGTTTAACCCCATTGGGATTTTTTTTCTGTTTGTGGTCATTATGAATAAACTCACGTGTGGGGCTTTGTGTCAACACAGACCTGCATTTCCCCAAAACCACGGCGGCCAGGTGGACTTGCTGGATGGTGTGGCAGCCACATGCACCTCTGTTTTGGAAGAAACTGCCCTTCTCCTTCCTGGGGTGGCTGAGCCGGGTGCTCCACCAGCAACACGGGATGGGGGTTCCCTGATCCCCATCAGCTTGGGGCGACTGTGCCTTCTCATCCTGTAAGGAGGATGGTGACACCTCCGGTGCAGCTTGCTGTTGTCCTCCCAACAGATTTCACAGAGCAAACACTTAATTCCTACAAAGTCCAATGTGCCTTTTATGGACTGTGCTTTTCGTGTCAAATAAGCACTCTTACGCAGCCCGCAGATTCTCCACAGATGTTTTCCGTGCATTTTCAGCTAACTTTTGTACGTGAGACTTGGGAGAAGCTTCTCCCTGGAGGCATCCACGTACTGCTGCACCATTTGGTGAAAAAGTTTTTCTGCATCTGCTGCTTTCCTGTCTTTGTCACAATCTGCAGTCTGATGGCGCGTGTGGGTCCGTTTCCAGTTCCTCTGATTTGGGTTTCTCTCCTTTGATCAGCATCACACAGTCTCGACTACTCTAGCTGGACAGCAAGTCCTGAAGTTGAGGGCGCTGACTCCTCTCACTTTTTCAGGAATTGCTTTAGTGATTCGATTTCCTTTTGCCTTTCCAAATAAATCTTAGAATAACATTTTCTGCATTAACCTCTGGCTAGGATTCCGATAGGAGCTGCAGAAAACACACACGTCAGGTTAGGGGACCCTGGGTTTCCTCACCTAGACCTCCCACTCCTGTTTATTCCGAGGGCCCTGTGTCTTCATGTTTCAGTTCCATTTTGATTTCTTTCACTGGCCTTTTCTGACTCCATGACAAGTGTCATGCGTGTTTGGCTGGGTTCACAGCTAGCTATTTAGAGAAACCCCTTTCCCTCCCTCATCGCAGTGCAGGATGTTTAGAGTTGTAATCCCAAGTACAAGTCCTTTGGAATTCTAGCACATTAATCCCAGTCTACCACTTTTCCAGTGCAGCTCATGGCAAAAATGAAGTCACTAATATGTAATTATTACAGGGAGCCAAGGGGTCCTGAATCTGGCCCCGGTGACGTTTCAGCAGAACAGGCCTCCACCCAGGACCTAACCCAGATTTTATTGATTTGTGAAGAAGAGAGTGGCTAGAGAATGGGTGAAGGTGAGAATGGAGGGAATGACATGAGGCTGTGAGCCGGGCTAGCTAGGAGCCTGAAAGCACCTCTGCAGTAGCAGAGAGAAAAGTATGCAGAAAGACTAATCTGCACAACACAGCTGAGCTAGAATTTAAGGTTTAGGAGGCTGTTACTTTAGCTTTGATGTGCAAACTTTTCTGCCCTGGCAAGTTACAACCTCTTATCTGAGGCTCTGGAACCCAGCTGACAGCCCCGGAGCAGCCATGTTTAGGGAGTCACAGGGCAGGGAAACAGGGCTGTCACCTGGCTTCAAAAGTCACGCATCAGCACCTCAGCCAGCCCTATTTACATTACTTGGAGCCAATTGAGGGGAAAAGGAAATGGCCTGGCCAGCTTTGCACATCAGTGCCTGGAGAAGGCCAGGTTTAGCCAAAGTGGGGATAACTCTTGTTTATTCCAGGAGAGTCACCCAGGTGTCCTCCACAGGTATTTCAGTGTTTTTAGTGACAGCAAACAGCATTATATTTCACAGTCTTGGTGACGTGTACTCATGGAAAGCCTGCTATTGCTTTGGTGCACTGTGGTTCTTATCTCACTGAACTTACTGGTCCTCAAGGGTTTTATGGATTCCATAGGACTTTGTGACATGTGATACCATATCACTGGTGCATGGGGAGAGGGTTATTTCTTCCTTTCCAACTCACACGCCTTTTAATTTCTTTCTCACCTCCTGGCACCCTGTGGAGGATGGTGACATCCTTGCCTCCACTCTGGTTTGGGGAACACTCAGGAAATGCTCTCCTGATGGGGGAGTGTGTCAGCTCCTGGTCTTCCCTAGCTGCTCTTCAACACCCCACAGCTGCTCCCCTCCATTCCTAGTTCTTTAAAGCATCGCTGAGAGCAGTCCCAAGCTCTGGACGTCAGTGCTCTCTCTGTCCTGTGCCAGTGCGAGCTCTCATCCTTAGCCTCCTAATCACTGGCTACATGGCCACTCGGGAATCATGGCTCTGCCTCCAATTCTTGGAATAAACCTTGCTGAGTTGTGTATAATTCTGTGTACACATAGTTGCCTGCAATTCACTAACATTTTTAAAGACTTTTATGACCATGTTCGTGAAGGACATGAGTTTTTATTTCATGCTGTGTTTGTCTGTGTGATACTACCAGCTTCACAGAATAAACTGAAAATTTTTTCTTTCTCATTTCTGAACTAGGTCATGTGGAGTGGGTGTTAATCATTATGTAAGAACTTGTGACATTTTTCTGGGTGGTCTCTAGGTCTCTGGGCCTCCACTGAACCTTCGTGGCTAGGAGGGGAAGAGTGAGGGTCTGGTGCTGTCCCCACATGACGCTGCTGGCACCCTGGGTGAGGGAGACTCCCCTGGTGCAGCTCAGTGAGGTGGCAGCTGAGGTTCCACTCTGTCCTTGATGGCCCCGGTGGGTGGGGCGGGCTGCCAGTCTCTGAATCTCCTCTCCAGGCCCATTTCTTCAGGTCCTGGTCCTGGAGATGTGAGGCAAAAGCACAGCAGGGAACGCACCATGCTGAGGTCCCAGGCCCTATGGCCTCCTGCCAGTCCCCCTTCTGCCCACTTGAGCACATGTCCCCTGCCTGACCACATGTGATCCTCGGAGTTGTTGATTGTTGCTTAGGAGGGAGGCAGTGGGCCTTGCTTCCATCAGCTTTGCTGTGCTCAGCAAGCTGCAGTGTGAGAGTGAGCCTGGGGTGCGGGGGAGCGTCCACAGCCAAGGAGGCAGCAGAATGTGAATGAGGCTCGCACCAACTAGACTGCACTGACGGTGGAGGCGGCAGGTGGACAGCGTCAAGGTGGGGAAAAGGGAGATGACAATGGCACCAGGTCAGTGCTGTTAATAAAACTACAGCATTGCACTACAGGGCACTGTGCCAGGCACCTTCCCTGTGTGACTTCATTTATTCATGTCTTGCAAAGCACCTTTCAAAGTGTGAGTTAATTCCTATTGCAGATGAGGAAACTGAGGCTTGGGGGAGAAACCTTCTGCCTTTGCGCACTGTGTGTAGAGGAAATGCCAGGATCTCAGCCAAGGGAAACTCCTGGGACAGCTGGACTGTGTGCAGCGTTCAGCTGGAACTCGGGACTGGCTTGGCAAGGAGAGGAGGATGCGGATGAAAATCAGGTGCATTTTTGAACAAGGGCTCTCCAAATATCTGTGTGCAAAGGAGCACCCAAAGTAGGCCTTTTGGGGATCGCAGGCAGAGGGGCCCAGGGTGGAGGAAGACAGTGGGTGGGGAAGAGGGCCTGGCTTCTGCAAACAGGAGACTGGGCCTCACAATGACCCCTGCACAGACCTTGGTCTTTAGCACCCCCAGATGACTAAAACACAGTTTTGTGGGGCTCTTGTCGCCTCTTCTCCTCCTCCTGTGTGTGTTACATTAGGGGCTTTTGAAGGAACACATGGTGCACTTTCCACAGACCCTTGGAGATGCCGTGGCTTAATTTGTTTAGCACTGCTGCTAACTCCTTGTTTTTAATATGCGCTGCTGCTGAGTCATGCTGGGTTAGTCCTTCCCAGCCCAGGGAGTTAATGAGACAGTGTGGGCAGACAGGAGGACATCACAGATCTCCTTCCAAGGGGACACAGGGGAAGCAGAGGGCAGAGGAGGATCCCGGTAGGGTGCTGTTGCATAACACTGGAGAGGGGGAAAACCCAAAGTCCAGTGAGCTGGTAGGGACAAGCAATGGGCAGTGGGGCTTCCGGAACATGGGACTGGGGACAACAAGGACACCTCTCCAGGGCATAGGGAAGGCTGGCCAGCAAGGTGGGGGCCAGTGACTGGATTCCATGGAATGACCTGAGAAACACAGGAGGCTCTATGCTTTGTGACCTTGGCTTAAACAGCCATCTCCACATCAGGCATTTTCAGAGGTACTGAGGCTGGAAAGAGCACCCCGAATTCTCCAGAGCACAGAGTGCCAGGCCCCCGAGTCTCCCTGCTCACAGATATCCCCTCCCACCTCGTTTTTCTTCCTGGATTTTTCAGATGGAGATTCCCACTCGGAACAGGTGGTCTCCAGCCCAGCCTTGGCTTCATCTCCTGCTCTCCAAGCTGTGCCTCACGTGGCCTCCAAGACTACTTAAGAGCGATGAATATTTTGTATTCAAATGAAATTTATATAGCCGAGCAACTTTGCTAACACCCCCAAATCACTCTCCCCAACCTCTAAACTACCCAGATGAATCAATAAGCTAGTATGTGAGAGGAAATTGCTGCTATTTTATATACTTTTTAAAAATCAATGCTCAGTTATGAGATTACAAACTGGAACCACGTGGCCCCGAGTTTCTCTCCGGCCTCGTCTCTTCTCAGAAGCAGCTGGACCCGCAGCTGGGCCTGGATCTCCCTCACATCGCAGCTGCTGCTGAGAAGGCTCCTGCTCCTGTCCAAGCCCCAGGCCGGGGGCCCTGGCACTGCAGGCCTGGGCCATCGCAGCCCCGGAGATCTGCGCCAGTCTCTGTGCCTTCCTCTTGATGGCTTGGACGTGGGCCCTCTCGTCTTCCTCCTCCTCGTCCTCAGCCCACGATCTGGGGCTGCGCCAGTTCTGCTCCAAGCTGCCTGCTCGCTGCATCTCCAGCGTCCTCCTGCCAGTGGGGCCCTGCGCCCTGGCCGGAAGCTGCTGTCCCTCCACCTGCTCCGCCCTGGCCCAGCCCTGGGGGACCTCCTGGGACAGCGGAGCACTCTGCTCCAGCGACAGCTGCCAGAGCAGGGCCTCGGCCTTGGCCCGGCAGTGCTGCAGCACCTGGCGGGCGCGGGCGTTGGCGAGGGAGCTCGGCGGGAGCTCCAGGTCCGGGTCGCGCACTTTGTAGCCCGGAGTGGCGCCCTGTGCTGGGCTGTGGCGCTGCTCTGACCGCCGCTGTCTTTGCGCCTGGCGGTCGCGGGTCGCTGGCCCCTGGGTGCTCCCGGCCGCCTCCTGCTGCAGCTCGTGCTCCCTCTGCGCTCTCAGGAGCCGGTTCAGCACCAAGGCCAGCGCCTCGGGGTCCTCAGGGCAGGGCGCTGCGTTGGGCCGCGCTGCAGGGTGCTGGGACCCAGGCGCCACCCAGACCACCTCGCGTCCCTGCTGGGACCCGTGCACCGCGGGGCTCAAACTGCGGGGCGCGCGCGGCGAGGCAGGGGGCGCGCGCGGAAGGGGACGCGGGCGGGCCCAGGGGTCACGGCCCGGCATCCTCCCCGGGAGGCTGGCGTCTGCGGGGTCCGCACCACACTACTGCCCCCCGCCCGGCCAGACTGGTCCCCTGTGACGCTTGGGCCACTTCACAATGCACTTGGGGCAGTGAGGCGAGGCTGTGGGAACCAGCGGGCACCGAGTCTGAACCTGAGTCCCAGCGCCCCGAATGTGGGGGAGGTAGCAGATGGGGTCGCTGTCACCCTCGCCTTGCTCCCCGCCACCCTCCCCTCTGCGGGATGAGACCCCAGCGACTGTGGAAGCCATGCCAGGCTGCACTCTCATTCCCTTTTCACTCACAAGTCCTTTTTACTTTTGAATTTGAGAACAGCAGGAATAAGACTTCATCTTTCCCTACTAAGCCTTCTGCCGTGAAGTCAAGACTGGTGTGCAGCTTTCTGAAGGGTCAGTGAACAACGGCCTGCAGACGTCATGCTTAGCGTTCTCGACCTCACTGTCCCGGGGTGGTGAGACTCCTTGCTTGCTGAGGGCCCCAGCTCTAACCGGAAAGCTTCAGATTTGCTCAGGAAACACGCTGGAGCCCTGTAACCTTGGCAGGCTCCTCCATGTCCCTGACCCATGGTCTGGACGTGGGTGCCGTACAGGCAGTGAGTAGGTGTCATTTTCATGTCTTGCTAGGCTTTGGTTAAAAGTTTTAAGACTTAATATACAGGCTTGCAAACTTTTCCACAGATCCCTTTAGGAAAAAATTAAGGGACCCTGAAACAGTTTAGGTAAAAGGCTGTTAGGGAGGAGAGGCTGTCAGGCTCTGCAAGTCTGCAAGTCCTGTGGACCCTGGAGAAGTGGGGAGAGAGAGCCTGGTGGTTAAGATCAGGGTCCACACTGCAGAACTCCCTGAGGCTGAGAACTGGCTCCATGGTGCTGAGTGACCCAGAAGGAGATGGGCAGAGCTAAGCTACACTGGGCAGTTTACAGGGACCTAGTGACAGTGCCCTGGGTGTGGCAAAGCCAGGGCATCCTGTGATTTGGGTCGGAAGTAGGAATTCATGAGGAGGGTGACGCCAAAGTGATGCCATCCATGTACGAATGTCCCTGGCTTTTCCCAAGCTGACATCGAGGACTCAAGCTTTTTCTGGCATCCAGGCCACAGGGCCCTGGCTCTGATGCTGCACACACTCCATGAATTGATCTCAGTATTCTGGGGAACCCTGGGAAGCAAGGAACTGCATGGGGCTGCGCTGCGAGATGGCTATGACTAGGTTGAACAGAATCCATATGATTCTGTCAGGGTCCCAGAGCTTCTGAGTCCTGCTAAGAAAATCCTGGTCAGGGGAAACCAGAGGGTGCTGCCACCATATCCTGAGGGCCATGTGGCACCTGCCTGAGCTGCAGTGGCAGAGCCCTGGGTTTCTATCCACTTTCGTGTATGTGATTGTAACTCAGACTGGGGATGGCACTGTTTAAAGTGCTGAGCCAGGTCTGACATGGACCTGCTTTGTGAGGTCAGGAACACTTAGAGTTCAGCATCGTCTCCACAAAGCTGTGTGAACACTGTGTGGATGAACATGGCTCTGGCCAGTCCCAAAGGGCACCTCCTGTCACAGAGGGCACTGTCCCATGGGTGAAAGCTCAGTGTCCTAGCAGCTGGAGACCCTGCCAGCGGCCCCATGCTGCCAAGTGCTCCTGAGTCTTGCCTGTCCTGGACAGGGCACTTCAGCCCCAGGGACTTGAGAGTCTTGACCTAGTGAATGCATCTGCATTCACCCTGCGGAGCAGTCGCCCATGGCAGGGCTGGGCAGCTGCAGTCCACACTGACCTTGGAAGCACTTGAGTGCTGCAGTAGTGGCCAAGGAGGCTGGGTTCTGAGTCTGAGCTAGGTCAGGGCCACAACAGGACCCAAGGGCTCCGGTTTCTTTCGGGGCTCACTAGCCCCCCAGAGCTTGTCACAGTCATGTGTGGCTCTTCCTCTGCTAGTGACAGGATGGACACGCGGTCTCACCTTTATACCCAGGGCTCTGGGCTGGGGTAGAGGTGACAGTGCCAGGAGAGGTGGACACAGGGGATGCTGGGGGGGGACAGAGAAGCGGGGGCTGCTTGCCCTTTCTGGGTAGCTCACGGCAAGGAAGTCCTTCTGCATACAGAGTGACATAGAAGCCAAACCTGGGTGACAAATGAGAGGAGCAACTGGGACAGTGTGAGCAGGACACACCTGCCCAGAGCTGCATGGCCAGGAGAACTCTGAATGCCTGGCCCATGAGGACTTGGTGGCTTGGGTCTCCAGGGTGTGGGGAGCATCTGTGGGGTGGGTGAGCCAACCTCTGCTGGGCCTTGAATGCCAACCCGAGGGTGCAGAGTCCCAGCTGTGCACAGGATCTGCTGGGCTCCTGGGACTGCTTGGGTTCAGTGGGGGCAGAACTGGGAGACTTGGGGGAAGGTCCTGAGGCCTCTGCCCCTGCTTTACCCAGAGCCATTCCAGATTTCATCACCGTTATGTCCTGGGCCCCTTGGAGCACCCTGATGAGAAGACCCAGGGCTCTCCTGCTTGTAAGGAAGGGTTGAACTCCACTGTGTGGGCAGTGGCGGGGAGCAGCAAAAGCCTTGGTTCCAGAAGAGAGCTGCGGGATCTGCGGGATCAGGACTGCTATGTTAGTTAGGAAGCCGGCCTGGGACAGCGTGAGGACCTTGGAGAGGCTGGTGGTGACCTAGGGAACTGCAGGGAGGGGCAACCAGGACAAGGGGGGCGCCCGGGGGGCCAATGGAGCAGTCAAGGGCATGGACTCAGTCCACAGGAAGGATTTCCAGTCTGGGCCCAGCAGATGGGACGCGGCAATAACAGAAGGCATGCAGTTTCGGGGCTCTGGGGGACAGTGGTCTTGGAAATCAGGCAAGGCTGTGGGAACAAGCAGTCCCACTGTAGAGCAAATGGGCTGGAACAAAGCTGCCCTCTGGCTATGGACAGACACCTCCTCTGAGGAGGCCCAGGGCCCAGGCAGAGTGCACAGAGCAGCACAGTCTCTGCTTCTGACCAATGCTGTGGGGGTCTCCAGCCTGGAAGCTGTGGCCCTGTCCAGGCAGTGAAGGGGCAGTGAAGGGAAACTTCCGGGGTCCTGTGCGGAGCCAGCCACCTCTGTGTGGCCACAGAGCCCCTGGCTGAGAAGTGGCCGCTGCCCCACAGGGCGCCAGCCTTGCTCTGAATCTGTTGGAGAGTTTGAACAGCAAGGTGTGCCCCAACCCCAGGACGTGACGTGACAGTGCAGAACCAGCCTGTGCCTTCCCCAGGATAGATTTCCGGCCCTGCCCTGGTCAGCCCACTCCTAATTCTCAGGTGGGGCACAGTAGAGAGACCAGCACGGGTGCCAGGACACACACAGAGAATTCCTGAGATGCGGAGTGAAAAAGTGGAAACTTAACTCTGTGCTTTTAAAGAATTAGCCACACACTAAGATGGGGTATTTCCAACTTGACAGCCTAAAAAACAATGTATTATCAAAATTACTTTCACTGCCAGGCTAGTCCATGCCTGTAATCCCAGCACTCAGGAGGCTGAGGCAGGAGAACTGTTGCAAGTCCGAGACCAGTCTGTGCTACAAAGTGAGCTCAAGGCCAGCTTGAGCTGCATAGTGAGACCCTGTCTCAAAAAAGGTAAAAAAACAAAACAAAAAAAACTTCCATTACACTTGTTTCAATGTGGCTACCAGGAATGAAAATTATGTATAAGTAAATGTAACATATATCATAGGATATTTATTTCCTTTTTTGGGAGATGTTTGCTTTTTAATATTTTTTATATTTACTGTTCCATCGATACATAAAAACATAAAAATTATACATTCATGGGGTGCTGTGGAACGGTTTGATGTATGCATGCATGGTGTGGTGTTTATATCAGTGTGAACACATCCATTTCCTCAAACATTTATGGTTTCTTTACGGAGAAAGCTCTTGGAGTCCCCAGCTCTGGAAAGGTGGGTACACCTGCCACCCGAGGTCCCTCTCTGTTCCCCAGCACCCCATGACAGCGGGCCCCTGCATGTCCCTGCACCCTGCCTGACAGGCTCCCAGCACTTGATTTTCTACAAGCCAAGCCTGGCACCTCCACACATCTGGGTGAGTTTTATTTTATATAAATTTATTGCTAAATTTAAAACTGCTGTCTGGATGACAGGATGAATTCTTAATTTTCAGAATTCAACTTAATGGTGCAACTTCACAGAATTTCAGCTCTTTCTGACCCACCTGCAGGTTTTCCTCACTGCCCAGGATGACACATGCTCCCAGGTTACCATGTCTGTGCAGGGCAGCTTGCCTCATGGCCAGCAAGGAGACCAGGGCTCATCTTACAGCATCGGAGCTACAAAACCATAAACACGAATGACAGGAACCACACAGACATGGGGACACCAAGGGCAATACATAAACAACTTTATGCAAATGTAATGCTGAGAACAGAATTATAGCCTGAAAACTTCTTTTTAAAAAAAAAATACTGGGTTAAATATGTGGAAATCAGGAAGCTCAATTGCCACGGAAACAATCACTTACCCACAGTGCAAGTATTCCATAGGTATGAGGTCCTCAGAGTGTGTGGGGCAGTGCTAAGTGTATGCCCACCCCTGTGACGCCATGCTGGGTCTGAGCTGCAGGGGGCAAGCATGGGTCTCCACCCCCTTCCCCCAGCCTCTGCCCACTCAGCCTCCAGCATCCGACCTCTCTGCCAAGGCTGTAGGTTACAGCAGAAAGAACTGTGTGTGGACCAGGGCAGAAGAGGACCTTGAAGTTGCTAGCTTTGCCACATCTTAGGATTTTCATGTTTTTCATATCTGTAACCTGAACGCAATTATAGGCAGGAGATGGTAATTGGCCAATCCCTAGAAGGATGGGAGGGACCCAAATAAGCAGGTCCAGGGCCAAGGAGGACCCAGATCTGCAGAGAGACAGTGGGGTCCTTGGCAGTGACCCAGAGACACACCTTGGCAGGGTAGCTACTTTATGGCCTGGTGGCACAGTCTACACAGATGTAGGGAAGGCTACTTGGGGAAAAGTGGAGAAAAGGTGCCATTAGCAGCTTGTCTATGTTGGAGTAACTTCTTTACCTTCAACAGAACATGGGCATTAAACTGAATATTTCTAAAGAATATGCTTTGTTGAAATGTGTGAAAAATGCATGGGTCTTTCAAAGTTCTTGTTGGTGTGTTGTATTTTGCTCAGCCTGAGCCTGGAGTCTGACAACCAAGGTGCCATCGAGTCTCAGGGAGGCACGGTGAGTGCGGAAAGCACTGTGGCAACAAGGGGCTGCGTGGTGTGCAGTGTGGCCGAAGGTGCCCTGGGGCCTCTGCTCATGCCACCCACTGTGGTCCTAGCTCCTGTGCCATGCAGGCTTACAGATCTCGGCAGGGGATCTGCCTGCCTTCTCTCCCTCAAAGCCACCAAACCTGTTAATGGGTTGATTTGGTGTCTCTCTACCTGCCTGGCTCCCTACAAAGCCACACAGCTGGGCAGCGTCACTAAGGGGCTCATCCTTAGCACTGAGCTGTATCCCTTAGATTCTTGGGTCAGAGCCTCCTTGACCTCCTGAGCATGTGGGTCCCTTCCTGTGGCCTCCCACAGCTCCTGGAGAGGCCCGGCCCCTCTCCGAGTGGCATGTCCAGGGCAGGCCTGCATGTGGGGCTCTACGGAAACCTGGGTAATGAGTCTGGCTGCCAGGAGATCTGAAGGCCCCATGGCACCTCCTGCTGTGGCCACTTCTGATGTCTCTCAGGGCCCAGCATTGCAGGAAATACATGTTGAATGAATAAATGAGGGACTTGCTGCCAGCTCACAGTGTGTAACCACAGCTGAGCTCTTCCTTTCTTCCTCCTTTCCTTCCTTGCTTGTGGTATTGGGGTTGAACCCAGTGCCTTTGTACACAGCTGTATCTCTGACCCCTTTTTAATTTTGATAGAGTCTTGCTAAGTTACTCCAGCTAGGCCTGCACTTGCACCTGGGCTTGTCTTTGTCACCTGCATTAGTAGAGGGAGCCGTGGGAGACACAGCTCCCATCCGGCCCCACCGGCAAGGCCCCAGAGTGAAACAAACTCTGAATCAGACCTCAACTGTGGGGCACTGGAAGGCCAGCTCCATTCAGCAAAAGGCAGGAGGGCTGTGGACGAGTCCGGGAGTCAGCACCAAAGGGCACGGCCATGCAGGATCCAGAGAGCAGAAGGTTCTAGGGGATATGAGCATCTCCAAATGCAGCCGCGGCCTTAACTGTGTGAGAGGCCAGGACGGGGCAGGGTACAGCTGGGGCAATGTCCAGGAAGGCAGACATCGGGCAGCACAAGGAAGGCTCTGCCAAGAGCGATCTGGCAAATTCGAGGGCCTTTTTAGGATGTGATGGATGAGGCTGGGTGCCCACTTCTCAGAAACCATGGACAGGGCCTCAAACACAGAGCCCTTGGGGGTACTGGGGCGACTTGGGGGAACCTTTTCCCTGATGTTCTTGGTGTAAGTGGGTTTTACTTCAGCTGAAGAGGGGTTCCAATGACATTTAAGCTGTACCCCACTTTTAGTTGTAAAAGCATTGCATGGTCAACAAGTATATTTGAGCTCTGTGGATTTGATGAGTAAAGAGGGCAGAAAATACACTGAGAAAAAATGGAATACATATTTATTCTGTAGAGGAAAATCAAAAGACCTTGGGAAATGGAAATATGCCCTCAGTACTCTGGAGCCTCAAAGTACAGGCTTTAGCAAATACACACTTGTGTGAGCCAGAATCCTAAATTCGCTCTGTGCGAAGCTGCCATCTCCATTTTACAAATTGGGAAAAAATACTGAGCTTGATTTATCTACTAACCACTAATCTATCCTGTGAGGGTTTGTTAAAATTACTCTCAGTAAGAGCCAACGCGGTAAAAGCTGTAATTTCCCAACTACCAACATACCTGAGATTTGGAGAGTCGACAGAAGCGCGGGATGATTTGGTGGCTGCATCAGAAACATGATTTTTATAGCCACAAATTGCTACAGAATAATGGAGGCTGCCGGTTCTAAGTGCCGCCTGCAGTAGCATCTCAGTGCTCACCCCTTCACCGCCGCGGGAGGTGTCCGTGGGGGGGGGCCGACCTGGAGGACCCCGAGGGCTCCAGCACCCGGAACTGCGCAGAGCCCAGAACCTCAGACCTCCGCACCGTGGGCCTGGGGCGCTGACGCCCCAACCCTCTTGTCCTGGTCCCGAGGTTGCCCCTCCTCTCCGGGGCCTTTAACCCAGCCAAGGCCCCTGGCCTGCGGGATCCAGGCCGGATAAGGCCTGAGCCTCCTGGGAGCCGCGGGCCGAGTGCAGGGAGCGCCCTCTGGCCTCAGCCATCCCGGGATCCCCAGTTGGCGTCTCGGGGAGCGCGCCCCACTCCGCCAGCCCCGTGAGCCGAAGATCCCCCGGGGCGGGCCAGCCGGGGGCGGGACCCAGCGGAGACCGCCGGCGCCGGAGGCGAGCGCCCCCGCGGGGACGCCGGGACACGACCCCAAGGCCGCGGTGGCTCTACGGGCACGCGCGGGAAGGCGGAGCGCGCCGGGCAGGTGCAGGCGCGCCGGCCTCCTATTGGCCCGCGCTCTCGGGGCCCCACCCACTCGGGCCTGGTCCCGCCCCTCCGCGCCCCCGCCGCGCGCGAGTCAGGTGCGGGCGCGGGGCCTCCGGGCGCGCGCAGTCTGCGTCCCGCACCGCGGGCCGGGCCGGGCCGGGCCGGGAGGCGGCGCGGAGGTCGCGCCCCGATGCGGGGACCCGGCGGCGCGGCGGCGGAAGGCAGCGGCGCGCATGCGACCCGCAGGTACGGCTGGGCCCGGGGACGCGAGTGCGGGGCGGCGCGGGGATGGGCTCGGCACCCGGCCAGCCGCGAAGTCGGGGCCGCACCTGCACCCCGGGCTCCATTCCGGGCCAAGGCCCCATTGCCGCGGCGCGGGACCCACCCCTCCCCCAGCCCCTGTCCGAGGGGGTGCGGGGGGCGCAGGCCCAGGCACTGTCGGCTCCGCCCTGCTTGCAGGCGCTGGCGAACTGCCCACCCGCCCGCCGCGCGGGTGAAAGATGCATCATGGAGCGCGCCCGCGCCGTGGACGCCGTGGAGACCGTGGGGACCGTGGACGCGCGTTCCCGGGGCCTCCGCCACCGGCCCCCAGGAGACCCCCGGCTGCGACCCTGTGGCTGCAGCTGGCGCTGTGCCTGGGCCCAGCGCAGCTCACACGCGGTGAGTGACCCCCACCCCGCGCGACTGCGGGTGCCCAGCCCAACCCTCCCTCCAGGACCTTGGGCGCCCAGTATGCCGGCCAAGTCCAGTGCCACATTCTGCCTGCATCCCAGCGTGGCCCTTCTGTAGCTTCACCCCACCCCCATTTGGGCCAAGAGAGGAAAGTGGTGGGTTCCTCAGGCTGGGACCCTTGCCCTGCCCAGGGCAAAGAGACCAGGTTGCCACCTCTGGATTAGCGGGAGTTGCAGGAGCCCCCACCACCACCACCGTGGAAGGATGAAGGGGTGGGGTCTGAGAAGGCCACCGGTGGCTGGGGCAGGCAGATGGGAAGTTAACTTTCTCTCTCCTCGGTGGGTGGCGGTGTCTGTACTCAGGTGGGCAGCTGTATTCTTGGAAGGTGGCTGGGCCAGGTCCAGCTCAGGAGTCTCAGGGCTGCTCTGTGAGCCTGAAGTTAGCAGAACAGCTTTGGGGGCCCCTGTCTCCGGGGGCTCATCTGTCCACTTTGGCTCCTAGGGAGGGAGACAGACTGTCCTGCTGGACCTAAGGACATTGGGCTCCCCCTCCTTGTTCCCCTGTGGGCGATCGTCCCTGGCCAGTCCAGATTAGCCAATGTGGCTGTGTTCAAAGGACAGAATTGTGTTTGTGGAGCTGAGATACTGTTCATATGTAAATAAATGAGTGTTGGTGGGAAAACAAGTATTGCTTGGTATAAATAAACCATTTTCGTGTTTGAAAATATTGCTGTTTCAGAGAAACCGAAAGTGAAGATGGAAAAAAAAAATGAGAGAAAATTAGCAAAAGCGGGGGAAGTGAAAACCAAGTTGCATCTTAACACACAGTAATCAATACCGTGGCCGTTCCACTTGGGCATCAGAAAGATCCAGAGCGTAAGAGCCTTGGTCATGCCCGTGTGTATCAGGGTTAGGGAGAAAACGCTTCCTTTGGCAGGGCCCCCCTTGCTTCCCGAAGATTAGTTTTTGGTCTTCACATTTTTTATCAAAATGTCTCTGAGGAGGCACTGTCTTGCTGGAGGGCAGGATCAAAGGAGAGGCCGGACTGGCATCTGAGTGGCCTGCCAGGTCTCTGCTCAGAGCCTGTGGCCCTCCTGGACACCAACTGTGCTTTGCAGGCCTGGGCCCCTCCTGGCCTGCTTCTCTGGCCTCTCCATTCCCACCTCCATTCTCTCCAAGCAGGTCCTTGTGTGCTTCTGGCTTCCTAGTTTGTGTCCCAGGTGGACATGGCTAGACCACTGTATTGGATGTGTGGAGGCTGAGGCCTTGAAGGCAGCTTGCCTGCCTGGCTTTTCCCTCTCCTGCCAGAGTGGGGAACTCTGGGCAGAGAGATCTTGAGCCTTGGCAGCTCGGAGGGTGGGATAGGGCTGCTGTGGGCTCCATTGGGCTCTTTGTACTGCTCAGAGATCAGCACCAGCTGTGCCTTGCTAAAGACCCTTTGGCGACTGTGCGCCAGGCTATCCCCATTTCAGGGTGCTTGGCATCATTCTGGGGATCTCAGGAAGCAGAGATTTCCTGTATTATGACAGAAGCCCATGTGGAGGGTCCAAGATGGAGCAAATTCTCTTTCCTCTGACTGTGTGCCTAGAACACTGCCATGCATCCGTACCCACAGTCCCCATCCCGTTGGAGGCAGATTCCCACTGCAGCTCTGGAGGTAGGGCCTGAGGTCCTGTGTTTCTGATAAGCGCTTGCTGTAGACCTGAGGCCGCATGTTGATTAGCAATGCTGTGTGAGATGAGGGCATTCCTTAAAATAATGTGCTCGGGCTCCAGACACTGCTCCGTCGCCCTCAGTTACCAAATGCAGGTGCCGGAGGGAGAAGTCTCACTGCATCTCATCACTAGGGAAGACACAGAGTGACGATCGGCCTCAGAGAGTGCTTCCTGTTCCTTCCCTCACAACAAGTGCCTGCTTAAAAGACAGTTATACACTATGGATTTTCATTTTTGATCGCTTTCCATGGAAAAGGAGTGTCACAGTAGTAAGACATAATATACTCAGCTGGGGGAGCTGTACGTGTACAATATAGAAGTCACAGAAAAGCTGGACGAGGGAGGGCAAAACCGAGAAAATCATCAGACGGAGTAGGGGCAGAGCTCCTTCAGGACCCAATGCTTTGTCCTAGGAAGCCGAGACCCAGTTCAATCCTTGAGCCTAAAGAACTTTCCTGAGCCTGAGCAGCTGTGGGCTGGCATCATGGTGCCATCAGGCAGGCTTATTAATTAGGGTAAGGGCCCTGGGTCAGAGCCACTAACATCAAGTTCCCCAAGGAGTTCTGGAAGTACAGATCCCTGCTTCCCCAGCATCTGTGTGGAGCAGGCTGTAGGGCTTTTCACTGCCCTGGGTCCCCCGAGCCTGCTGGGGTCAGGGGAGGTTGGAAGGTCGACGAGGTCTGATGGGAGGGAGCCACATGAGTGCTCTGTGGGGGCTCCTTCAAAGTGAATTCCTGTGTCCTCAGTGCTGCTCTGCCGCTCCCAGGCTTTGGGGTCTTGGCCCTTGTATGACTCAGTTTCCTCATCTATAAAATGAAGATGATGATGTTTAGCTTAGGCCCAGGGGTGGCGAACCTATGGCACGTGTGCCCCAGTGGGCTGTTTGTATCATTGAAAGTTCTAAAAGGTTCTCTATCACAGGCTTAGGGTGTTGGTTGTGGTTGTGGGGACAGGAGTGATGGGGCAGAAGGGCTCAGGTGGTGTGTTGATGGGACCTTGGCTTTTTCCTCCTGTGTGCAGGGAGTGCCGCACACCACCAAGCCAGCTGCGAGTGCCAGGCCCCTCCCTTGCTCTCCATTCCTTGGTGCTGAGCAGGTTTCCCTTTAAAGCCAGGCCATGATCTCTTTCACTTCCCTGGTCAGTGAATATCCCGCCCCGTCCTGCTGCTCTAGGGTGCAGCCTGCATCTGGGTATCACTTCCCAGTCATAAGCACCCCAAGGGCAAGAGCTTAGACTTCCTGTCTGCCCCAGGCTCCCAGCAAGCCCCTGAGAGGAGCTCAGTTGCCATTGGTGAATGTAAGAGAAAGGTTTCCAAATCACAGGACACCCTCAGATTTTGGAGCACAGTGACATCTTCACAGCAGCTGAGGTCCCGGCCAGCTGGAGGGCTTGGGTGTGTGGAGCAGTGGGCAGCTGCAGAGAAGGAGGGGGACAGGTGAGCGGGGCGGCTCAGGCACAGCTGCGCTGGTAGGCGCAGATGCAGGGACAGTGAGTGGTGGGCTGTGCCTACAGGGCTTCGCAGTGCAGGAGGACAGGTGGCTGGGGCGCTGTCCTGGCACCTGGAAACAGAAGTGAAAGACCCTGCTTGTCCCATGGCAGGCTGAGGGATTACAGAAGAGTCCAAAGCCCTGACCACTGCCCCTCTGCCACTGTGTCATGGTTTGGGGGCTGAATCAAGACCTTCCAGCCTGTTCTTGGGTCTTGGTGAGCACAGTCACCTGCTGTCTACCAGTTGGTTGGTATTTGTGCATCCTGGCAGTTTTATTGAGGGAATTTTCCTTATATAGTAGAGTAATGCTCTTTCTGAAGTAGAGCAGTGATAGGTCTAAAATCCACAATTCAAACTCTGCTTCGCTTAGCCTGTAAACAAAGTCTCAATGCCTGGAACTCCAAAGCGTGTTTGCTCAACAAAAGGCTACTTTAATAGAAGCAGCATGGGGACACCATTTATCCACAGGGTGAGCTCTGAAGGCCTGGGGAGCAGGAGGAAGATTTCAGGTAACAGGTAGCAAATCTCTGTCTCAAAGGCCAAAGTGACAAGGCAGAGAGGGCAGCAGCTCTCTGGTTCCTGAGGGTCTTGGAGAGTGCAGGTGGCGATCTCTCTATGGGCAGCGCGCAGAGTGACAGTGCCCCTGACTCCATGGGGCTGGTGGACTTGCCATGACTCTCTGCCTTCTGTGTGGGACTGAGAGACTTCAGGGCCAGCTCTGCTGTAGAAGCCACCTGTCCTTGGACGGGTTGTGTGACTGTGACTCAGTTTCTCACCATGTGGATAACACCTCCAACTCCGGGATGGTTTTGCTTTCTGTGGTTTCGTTGCCCGCGTCACATGGAGAATTCGAGAAACAGCTGGTCAGCTCCGAATGAATTGCAGCCCCGTGCAGAGGTTGATGGAGATGTTTGATGTCCTGCCTGGTTCCTCCTTTCTGGGCCGTGACTCATAAGCTGTGTAGGGAGAGAGGTGGAACTCACATAGCTGTTATTACGGTATATTGTTATAATTGCTCTGTTTTATAATTAGTGATGGCTGTTAATCTCTTCCTATGCCTAGTTAATAAATTAAACTTCATTGTAGGGATGTACGTATGGGGAAAACAGTGAATTCTGAATACGGTTCAGCCCTCCTGAGGTGCAGGCATCTACTGGGGTCTTGGAACGCATCTTTAGCATGAGGGGTCTTTTAGGAATAACTGTCTTCTTCTCATGTAGCTGTCTGTCCTCTTCAACGGCCTGCTGTCTGCCTTGGGATACACAGAGAAGATGCCTCAGCCCTGGTTTCTGGCCAAATGTACAAGTAAGGGGCATTTCCACTCAAAAGTGGAAACACAGAATAACTGAGGGTCATTTTTCATGTAGATTCTTGGTATTTGTGACAATGATTTCCTATTACTGGGACAAAATACCTGACACTCTTAGCAGTTTATTGCGGCCTAATTTCTGGGAGTTCAGTCCATGGCCAGCTGGCTCCCAGGCAGCAACAGCATGATGGAGGGCATGGCTGGGGAAGCTGCTTACGGCATGGCCTCTAGGAAGCACAGCGAGCAGGGAGAAGCCCCGGACAAGGGTACGCGGCCAGGTCACACCAAATGACTACCTCCAGCCAGGCCCCAGCTCCTACCCTGTGCTCAGCCATGAGCTCACCAGTGCTGAATCCACAGGAGTGCAGACCCCAGGACCCAACCACTTTCAAAAGCCCCCCACGAATGCCTGAGGCTTGGGGGATATTGTAGGTTTAACTGTAAGGAAGTGATGAGAAAAACGATTTGGCAGATGC